TTCCAAGAGGGGGTAGAGTATGCTACCATGAAGTTACAAAATTATTTGATCACAAATTCTTGATTTTGGAAAGCATCACATGGGACTAGAAGGTGGATGAAAACATTTAGAGAAAGGCTTCATCACACTTGCATTCTCATTCCTCAGAATTTAACTCCAGTCTTGTTACCTATTTATTCCTTTTTCTAGTTCTTGTGGACTGTGATTTCAATCCTGACCCGAAGTTATTCATCTTCCCTTAAAAGAACTGTGAACAGTGCGCCCTTCATCTTCCTACTTGGTCCTCTTATGATCACACTGCATGATTCTGTCTCTTCCCTTGCTCTCCCCATGCCCACATGTACTAGAAGATGAACTCAGACTATCCCAGGGATCTGATGCCTGCTGATACCACTCATGCTCTTAAATCAGCTTTCTGAATATGAGGCCCAGCACAAACGGCTTAGATTAACCTCTACCACAAACAGAACCATTGTCCTGCATCTACCTGAATTCTCTCTCCTGGTTTGTAGATTGCATAACATACATCCTAATGGAAACAGCACCTCAAAACCCTGGCCCCTAACTTTTGCTTGATTTACAAACATCCAGAGTGTTCTACCCACAAAATGACGGCCTAGGTCCATTAATATGCTCAGAGGAAGCTAGGTTTAAAAAGGAGAGAGGGTGGGGGATGAGAGGGAGAGAGAAAGTACGAAAATTTAATCTAAGCCATTGTTTATTTAAAAATTGATAGGAACTAATTAAATGAATAAAATTTTATTGAACTTTAAAACAAAAATCAATTCTTTAAAAATCCCCCTTTCAGTGAATCCAAGACCAATGAAATTCTTTCTTAAATTAAATGGGTGGTAGTCATTACACTCCTTTGGGACTTGAAATGTAAGTTCTAAGTTGAGATATTTCTATAGCTTCAAGTACATTAATCATGTTTGCCTATTTAAAGAAAAAAAATCTTAATATGTAATATAGTTTCTTTGCCTTTTAATGAAGCTGTTTAAAGTTTCATTCTATTTTCTGTCCAGTGATGTCCTAGTAGATATTTAGTAACTAGCCTTGTCCCAGCGGAGGGTGTACATACTGACTTGTGACTTCTGCCAGTTTCCGTGATGTAAACACTCCAGTGTGGCCCATGATTCTAAGTTACTAAAGTGAAGCATGACAAGGAATGCTGAGTTAGGAAGACATTGCACAATCTGCTCTCATGAGCTGGTTTGAGCTGGTTCGGGCACATCACTGAGCCTTCCTTTGTAAGTCTGAATCTGCAAGTATTGTCCATCTAGAATGTTACCAACAAAATGGCAACAACAGGCACTTAATTCCCAGCTGGGCTGCAGGCATACTGAGATATAAAAAAGTGCTTCTTGACAATGACAGTGGTGATCACTGTATTGAACCAAAAAATACTTAGGTATAGAGTATTATTAGGTTAAAAACAAAACAAAACAAAACAAAACCCCATACCTCTAACTTCCAGTTTATCAGGGTCTATTAAAATATGTATTTATTTGGCTGTATGTGGAATCAATCTATCCACTTTTCCTTTATGTTTTTCTTTTGTTTTCAAAATCAAATGAGTGCTTACAATTGCTACTAGTCAAATGAAGTGAGTTCCTTTTCCTCCCTTCCACTACCTTCCCCACTCATAATTACTAAATAACTCAAAATACCTGCCATGTTTATTTAATCCCATGAGAAGATGGTGGAACTTCAGTGAGTCTCCCTTTATGCATTTTACATCTCATTTCTAGACAAAATCCTCATGCATGATCTTAGCTCTCTACGCCAGGCCAGAGAATGGAATGGAAGGATGGATATAAGCAACAGCAAGAGTGGAAGTTACTCGTATTTTCAGAGACCACTGTGGCTGTCACTATACTAGGGGTATTGCCTATATGATTTCACTTAATCCTCAAAAATGCTCTTTGGTAGCTATTCTTATCTTTAATTTTTTAATGGACAGACTGAGGCGTGACTTCATTACAGGTCCACCAGCGCACAGCTAATGGAGGCTGGAGGTTAAGATTCAAATGCAGTTTTTTCGTACTGCCCTGCTGCTGATTTCTCCATGATGCCATACTGACCTGGGAAAGTAATATAGAGAATATTTCTTCCAAGTTGGTGAGTTTCCCCCTAGAAATTCCATCTCTGGAGCTCCTATTTTCTAGTATCTGTGACCTACTTCACTCTTTTGTCTTTTCCCCAGTCTCTGAGAGGACAGAAAGTAGGGGCAGTGTCTCCCTTCACTCACCTTATCCAAAGACTCCATCTACCTCTGTGTAGGGACTAGGAAACCTCTCCAAAGCAAGAGGGGAAGAACTTATGAGTCAAGACACATTCCAACAGATCTTCCCTTGATGGAGCAGCTGTCTCTCTGGACAGTCTGGGTCCACACAGGAAGCCAGGATGCCAGCCTGAGAAAACTGGTCTCTTCTCCCTTCCCTGGCACGTGCAGATGCCTGTGTGTATGGAACTGCTGAGGCTCTTAGGCAAATCTGCCCAGGTCTGGGAGCTGGACAGGACCACACCAAAACCCAAAGGATCCTAGCATTTGATGATATTCTATAATTTGCTGGCACTCGAATTTCATAGGGTCACAGATATATATGCAATTACCCATGTGTTTTAGTCCTGGGACAAAATCATACCTGTGGTATCAAAGCCCACATAAAAATATAAGGTAAAATAAGAAAGCAAAATACATCCCATGTCAGGTCAAGTCACCCTTCTGTTCAAATCCCTATAATAAAAGAGCAACTCCAGGAAGCAGACCATGGTCTACGTGGCAGATTTCATTTTCTAAGGTGGCCACAAAAACATCTCCTGCCCCACATATTCTTCTGGAACCTTGCTGTGTCTCCTCCTCTTGAAACTGGTGGCACTTTATGACTTACCTGGGTCAACACAGAGTGGTCCCCACAACACTGTGTGATGTTGGAGGCTAGGTCATAACAAACACCACGCACTTCTACCCTGTAGAAGACCCTTTCTCTGGGGGCCCAGTTGCCACTCCAGGAGAGAGTCCAAGCTGCGCAGAGGGAGGCACACACGTTTGTTGAGCTCTCAGCCAACACCCAGCACCAACTTAGCAGCCACGTATCAGAGTCACCTTGAAATACCCCTGCACCCTGTCCAGCCACTCCAGCTGATACAACATGGAGCAGAGATGAGCTATCCTTGCTGAGCCCTGCCCAAACTGCAGATCTACAAGCAACTGAATGTTGTTTTAAGCCACAAAGTGTGGGGTGGTTGTTACACAGCAAATGATAACTAAGACTACACAGGTGTACATGAGCTGGCCTCCCGTTTCTTCTGCGATTCCTTCATGGCCACTCAACTCCCAGGACACTATGTACTCTGTACTTCCACAAACATGGAAAGCATGGGGACGGCGGCCGGGGGGGAAACCACATTCTTTAATTTCCTTCAGTGATGTTTTATACTTTCTTGAGTAGAAGTCTTGTACATCTTTTGTTAGATTTTTTTCCCCCCCTAATATTTAATGTATGTGATGCTATTGCAAGTGCATCCTGGTTATCCTCATTTTCTAATATTTGTTGCTGGTATGTAGAAGCACAACCAGTTTTTGCATATTGGCTTTATATTTGGCAACTTTGCTTAATTCACTTATTAGCTCCTATAGTTTGTTTATAGACTCTTTTAGATTTCTACTTCCCAATAATATTGTCTGCTAATGATAGTTGTATTTCTTCCTTTCTTATCCTTGTATTTTAAATTTTCTTTTCCTTTCCTTATTGAACTGGTTGGGACATGTAACGTGACGGTAAGAGATCTGACAATAGTAGGTATTCTTGTTTGGTTCTCAGTCTCAAGGGAAAGCTTTAAATATTTCACCACTAATTGTGATATTCGATGTAGTTTGTTTGTTTGTTTGTTTGTTTGTTTGTTTTTAGATATTCTGTATCCAAATAAAGAAGGGTCTTCCTCAGGTCAACTTAACAAACATTTCCTGATAACCTATTATGTCGTAGTCACTATCCTAGGCAAGAGGAGAATTTTAAATTCTCATTTTGAATGAGACACTATCCTTGCTTTGAAAAATTCACCATGTAGGATATAAAATAGGTCAAAACCATACAGAGTGGAGGCAGCAGGCAGGGGTGGGGAGAATCAGAAAAACAACTCACTCTGTCCAGGGGAGCTAGTGAAGGCTCTCAGAACACAGAACATTACAGGAAGGGCTCAACAGATGAGATAAGCAAGATAGTTAATAAGAATGATGTACAAGGGCTACTCCCTTACAAACTCTCTTCTGGGTATCTATCTATACATGTGGACTTCCTTTCATAGAGCCAAAAGATTACCCTAAATTACTGTGTACATGACATTTAGATAAATCTAATATTGTTAAGTATTCTTTTTTTTAAGGAAGTTATAATTGAGGAATATAGATCTCATCGTAAATATTTTCAGGGACAGTTCCTGAGTTCTATGTCCATAGGTTTTCTAAGAATGTTCGATGAGGCAATATGCTGAAAATGGACTATGCTTTCTATCCCACAAACCCATTGTTACCTCTCTGTCCATCTCTTTACTGGCTGTATTTGCAAATAATACCACAGGCAAAGAAGAAAAATTGACTTAGAGCAAGTTACACAGTATGTGGTTTACAAGTACTTACCTTATGTAATCATGATACACATTAAGTATTAAACAAACAAATGTTGATTTGACTTGGCCTGGCTATGTGTGTAGCCTACCAAAGAAAATAGTCTGGCCAGGATTATACTACCGTGGGCCACAGGCTGGCCAAAAAGACCAGATACAGTGGAATCTTTGAGTTTTAAAGTTTTAATTTTTTTTCTTTTTAAAAGAAAGAAAGGTATCTGAGAGCAAAAACAGGTAACATTACAGAGTTAGTTTTATAAGAAGACTCATAAAACTAATATATCATTGGGCTATTTTATATGAAATGTCTCTAACACCTGGAGTTTTGCAAATAGACTGAAAAGTCATGTACACGTCTGCTGGTGACTTACATTCTCCAGGAGAAAAGCAAGGTGAAGGCTCATCAAGATCATGTCCAAATATCTGGAATTGTTCTGAAAGCAGAGAAAAAAAGAAAGGTGGAACCAGCTCTGGAATGACAAAAATTGAGGTCTTTTGGCTTGGTAAGGACTGGAAGTATAGTTGGTGACCTATACATATCCCTTTGGGATCTATCTTTGTAATGTCTGCTGGCCACAATTCTAAGCTAACATTTGCCCCTCTTTGTTCGATGGCTTTCCCTGCAAGTTGGAGCTCAATCTGTCCCAAGTGCTGAAGAGTTAATGCTCCTGGTTAAGGTGCTGAACAATGACTGTTAGGAATCTGTGTATCTAACCTCAGATGGGAACTCTAAGCAGAGTTCTAATTGGTTCTCAGCTTTGCCCTGTAGGACTAAGCTCGTTACCCACAGAGGTAATTTGTAGTCTTATTTTCCAACCCCTCTACCAGTGGTTCCTGGAATCACTTCTAGGATAAACCATTTCATTTGGGTTCTTGTCTCAGGGACAGCTTCTGGGCAAATCCCAACTGACACAGATTATGTTTGATTTAAACAAAGGAGATCAGTATCCATTCCCCACTTTTTCATAAGAAGATGGTGGCTCTGTCCTCTTCAAATCACACACTCTCAAAAGGAGCTCACACATTCTGTTGGAGGGTCATGGAGGACTTGAAGCAATTATCAGGACAAGTCAAGTCAAAGCAAATGTCAACTAAAATTGTGGCTCATTGGAGCACGAGCATCATTTTTTTGCTTGACTTAATTGCATAATTGCCTTGGTTCTCAGCTTAGAATGTGCAGACCTGGAGAAGAACAATTAATGATCTAATGTGAGGGGGGACCCATCTCTGTGGCTTCTGGCCAAGCGGGAGATGCATCAATGTCAAAGGCAGCTATCCTCAGAGACCTTCTCAGGGGGAGAAATTTCTCTTTCAATTATGACCACCTAAATATCATCATGAAAATTGCTTTTTATGAAATCAAGCCATGGAAATTAAACTTTTGGGGAAAATAGTTAAATTTCAGCCTTGGATCCCTTCGTCAGCTACATTGGAAAATTTTCCAGACCATGTCAGACATAGCTACTGGATTCCATAAGAGGCTTGCTTTTGACATTTCAGTATACTCAGTGAACATTTCTATGGATGAGCCAGTGGCATGGCTTTCAGAAGAGAGGTGTTTAAATTCCATATTTATTCCTGTTATAGAGGAATCATTATAATAAATGAGACTTCTAGTCTTAAGCTTTTGTTCAAATGAGAATATTAGGCAGAAAAAATCCCAAATAATTAGTGAATACAAGTTTCAGTATAGTCCCTTAATCAAGGAGCAGAGTGGCTTGCCCCTAAGGATGAGATTCAAGCACATCACAGGAAGAGTAAGAGACCAACAAACAGCCAAATGGAAACTCAGCATTGCGTTGAGTTTGTTTCTTTTTGAGAGTAATTGCTAGACCTCTTTGACAAGCTGAAGAATGAATTTAATGCCTTTATTTTCTCTACTGTTAAGCATATCTAACTGGACTTCACAGGAAAACAAAACCAAAAACACCTTTCCCCCATTAGTCACCATAAATCTATTTGAATATGACTGAGATCAATCAATATACATTGAAGATTGTGGCTTAATTCTAATGACACCAATATTAATTCTAGTAAATTCTCTTCACTGAAAAACACAGGCAAACATAATCCTCCTCAGAACCAGATGGTATCAGATGGTATCAGATGGCTAGCATTGAGAATATCTGGGGTTTTTTTTTTATTTGTTTTGTTTTGTTTTAAGCATGAGCCAGAACAATGAATTAGCACCTCTTCCTGTATGTAGGAGGCTTTTGCTCAATACATGTGGCTCAAAAGCCCGAGTAAAGACTTTATTTTGGGGATGACCAGGGAGGTGGTCTTACCCAGTGTGAGGTCAGGTTCAGAAAATGTCCAAACTGGGGAGGGAGGAGCAAGATGGCAGAAGAGTAGGAGACCTAAATATCATCAGGTCCCAGGAGTTCAGCTAGATATCAAACCATTATGAACACCTACAAACTCAACAGGAGAGAAGATAGAAGAATTCTAGGAACAGAAAATCGACCACTTTCTGGAAGGCAGGGTGTGCAGAGAAGTGAATCTGAGTCAACAAATGGAAAGAAAGACAGTGGGGGGAGGGGCCAGCTCCCTCAAGTGGTAGAGCAGTGGAGCACAAAATCAGAACTTTTAGAAGTCTGCTTCACTGAGGGACGTCACTCTAGAGGCTAAATGAGGGATGGAGCCCTCGCGGAGTCAGTGTGGTCTCAGGACCTGCGGGCTCACAAAAAGGCCAGGGGTGTCTGAGTGTGGCAGAGGTCCCAGGTATCAGACTAGGGAAGCCAACTGCAGAGACAGAGCCAAGGACCAGCTCTCAGCTTGGGGTTACCTTAAACCATGATCCAAGGCACAGTCAGGCCCCTGCTCTTCGAGCAGGGACCCTACAAGTGGTAGATCCAGGGAGACTCACCTTCCTCCTCTGGGAGAAGCAGCGTGGGAGTACGTTACAGGAATCTGCTAGGTTTGGGCACAGCCCAAACAGGGCTGTGCACCAGAGAAACACTTGGTCACAGGCTGGGTGAGCTCTGAGGGGGGCCAGAGACCAGGGAGATGGGAGGTATTAACTGCTTTTCTCTGAGAGCACACTAAGGAGTGGGCCCCAAGCTCTCAGCTTCTCCGGGTGAGAGACTGGGAGGCTATCATTTTCATTCCTATCCTCCAAAGCTGTACGGAAATGGTTCAGGGAACAAAAGCCCCCGAGAGGGAACCTGAGCAGATTACTTAGCCTGGCCCCTGGCAAGGATGAGGCAATTCTGCCTCAGGCAAAGACATTTGAGAATCACGGCAACAGGCTTCTTCCCCCAGAAGATAAGCAAGTACATCCAGACAAGACCAAGTTCATCAATTACTGAGAAATGTGGAACTCCAGAGCTGGGGGAAAGCAACACATAGAATTCATGGCCTTTTTTCCCCATGATCCTTTAGTCTTTCAAAGTTAAATGTTTTAAATTTTATTTTTTTCTTATTCTATTTAAAAAATTTTTTTCACTTTCTTATTTTAACTTTTTAAAAACTATTTTATCTTATCAATGCCTTTTCTAAAATCTTTTAAAATTTTCATTGTTATAGTCATATTCTGCCTCTTCATTGTATTTAACCTTATTTTTTGTAAAAATATTTTTTTCTTTAAAATTTTGGGATCCTGTTTCTTCTAATACATCAAAATATAGCCAAAATATAGCACATGGTTTTGTTCTAGTCTCTAGCCTGATCACATTCTTTCCTTATTTTTTTTCTTTTTTCATCCAGCTTCTTATCAATTCTTTTTTAAGGATCTTTTAAAATTCATCTTTACAGTCATATTCCATACTTTCATCATTTTTACCCTTACCTTTACAGACCAAAATACATCCCAAATCAAGTGTGTGGCTCTGTTCTATTCACCAGTTGAAAGAAGAAAAAAAAAAAAAAAGAAAAAAGAAAAAAAATTATATATATATTTCTTTTTTTCCCTCTTTCTTCTCCCCCTGGTTCTGGTTCTCTTCTGATTTGGTTGGTGTATATTTTTCTGGGGTCGTTGCTACCCTTTTAGTATTTTATTCTCTCATTAATCTATTCTTATCTGGATAAAATGACAAGGCAGAAAAACTAACCACAAAAAAAGAAAAAAAAGAAAAAAAAGAACAAGAGGCAGTACTGATGGCTAGGGACCTAATCAATATGGACATTAGTAAATGTCAGAACTAGAGTTCAGAATGACGATTATCAAGGTGCTAGCTGGGCTTGAAAAAAGCATGGAAGATACTAGGAAATTGCTTTCTGGAGAAATAAGAGAACTAAAATCTAACCAAGTTGAAATCAAAAAAGCTATTAATGAGGTGCAATCAAAAATAGAGGCTCTTACTGCTAGGATAAATGAGGCAGAAGAAAGAATTAGTGATATAGAGGACCAAATAATGGAGAATAAAGAAGCTGAGTAAAAGAGAGACAAACAAGTACTGGACAACAAGGGGAGAATTCGAGAGACAGGCGCAACCATAAGATGAAACAATATTAGAATAATTGGGATCCCAGAAGAAGAAGAGGGGAGGGGGACAGATAGTGTCTTGGAGCAAATTATAGCAGAGAATTTCCCCAATTTGGCAAAGGGAACAAGCATCAAAATCCAGGAGGCACAGAGAACCCTGTTAAAAATCAATAAAAATAGGCCCGCACCCCATCATCTAATAGTAAAACTTACAAGTCTCAGCGACAAAGAAAAAATCCTGAAAGCAGCTAGGGATGAGAGGTCTGTAACATAAAATGGTACAAATATTAGATTGGCAGCAGAACCTATCCACAGAGATCTGACAGGCCAGAAAGGACTGGCATGATATATTCAGAGCATTAATGAGAAAAATATGCAGCCAAGAATAAAATATCTAGCTAGGGTGTCACTGAAAATAGAAGGAGAGATAAAAAGGTTCCAGGAAAAACAAAAACTAAAAGAATTTGCAAACAACAAACAAGCTTTACAAGAAATATTGAAAGGGGTCCTCTAAGCAAAGAGGAAGCATAAAAGTAACAGACCAGAAAGGAACAGAGACAATATACAGTAACAGTCATCTTACAGGCAATACAATGGCATTAAATTCATATCTTTCAATAGTTACCCTGAATGTAAATGGCCCAAATGTCCCAGTCAAAAGACACAGGGTATCAGAATGGATAAAAAACAAAAACAAAACAAAAACAAACAAAATTTATTATATAAAAATATTTATAATAACAAAATCAAAGAAACACATCAACAATAATACAATAATAGTAGGGGACTTTAACACCTCCCTCACTGAAATGGACAGATCATCTAGCAAAAGATCAACAAGGAAATAAAAGCTTTAAATGACACACTGGATAAGATGAACATCACAGATACATTCAGAACATTCCATCACAAAATAATAGAATACACTAGAATACTATAGTGCACATGGAACATTCTCCAGAATAGATCTCATCCTGGGTCACAAATCAGGTCTCGACCATTACCAAAAGA